TTTATCACGCCGCTCTTTGCTATACTGGGCTTCAGCAAAAATCGAAATGGTCATCTAGTTCTCTGTTAATCTTAAGGATCATTTTGCATCCCTTTTCTAGCTCACGCTAGTCTTTTGATTCCTTTCTAGGTATTGATTCCGGAGATAAGATTCAATGATGACTACATGGCCACGATTCAACCTCCAGATGCTACTGAAAAGAATTATGATGACCAGGTATGTTTGTACACGAGCTCGTATTCTCGTTCTGTGACTTACCTTTCTCTGATATCAGTTCAACATTCTAGGCTATCGCACTCTTTGACGAACTGCCTATCGAAGATCCGCGCATTTCTGATCTCGCTGTGCGCACTTGTCTACCGAAACCGATGATTCTTCTGAAAGTAAGATTTGAATTTTCTTAGCGAATGGAGTATGGGATCGTAAATGCGATACCGCCAGTGAATCTTCTCTTGGAAAAATTATGTCTCGACGATTCCTGATGTGATGCACATGTGTAAATGCCGTTTGCCAGATGTAGAAGCGGCGCGTGTGTAAGTGCTAGCTTGCCGTCTATCAAACTTTGTTCAGGTGGTATGATTAGTGTTGTTAGGAATGACATAAAAACTAAGCTTCCATCCCGATACACCCTGCTTCAATCAGTTCTGCTAATATCGTGATCGATTTATGAGTGACCACTGAAGCTGTGTGCCACTTATGTGGGCATACTGATTGCGAATTTTGGTTTTCTGTTCTATTTGCGGGTACATTCGAATAGAAAATTCTATTTCTGAACCGATGCGGACCAAACTTTACACATATGTATTTGAGGCGGAGGGGGAGGGCGATCACCATTCTTTCAGGGATCAGCGTTTGCAGCTTTTGCAAACGGATGTTATATCTGCTAGGGAGTTGACACAGGCACAAGTAGGTTCTTTCCCCTTTCAACTGATATCGATCTCATCGATTTTTCGCGAATTTTGCGCTGAAATGTAGTATGAAAAAAAGGTCTTTTACTCACATCGATTTTTTACAAATTTCTTTGCTAAGTAGGCACGGCACGCCTTATCCATGAATTGCATTGGTTTTCGAAAGTTTCGAGCTAGAGTGTTGCAAGTTGGCGCAGACATAAGTACAGTATGTTTCAATTCGTTGTAAGCGAAGCATTTGAAGCGCGAGCGCACAGCTCTGGCATTTTGCCAAATAAAGAATGAGAGGAATGAAGAGACTCAGACATGGGTTTTTGGCACGATGTGACATACTGTAGCTGCGAAACGCCGCGA